TACGGAATTTCATTCTGTTTATTTCAGACTATTCCTCCAGTTTGACTAGATCATTTTGAATTTTAATCCTAGCCTGCAAAGCACTTGCAACACCTCCCAGCTTGGTGTCATCAGCAAATTTTATGAATTGTACTCTCTATGCCATTTTTTTAAGTCACTGAGGGCAAAGCTAGCACAAAGATTGGTCTCTGCAGCACTCCACTTCATATTCCCTTGCAATTTAACTGTGAACCATTGGTAACTGCTATCTAGTAATGAATTCCCAAGGAATTTTGTACCCACCTTATAGTAATCCAAGTTTGTTTATAAAAAGGTAATGCAAGCTATTATCCAAAGTCTCACTAATTACCATATCTACTGCTTCTCCCTTGTTCACCAGGGTTATCCTGTCAAATAAAGCTATTACGATAATGGAACAAATAAGGAAGCCAACAATTTGCCATAAACAAACCTGGGAAGCAATCAAAACCAATTATCCAGAGAAAAACATCTGGCCAATGCCTCAGCCAGGTGTCAATAAAATCAAATTGATCATCATCTGGATAAGTAGCCATTTTTTGGCAAGAGAGTTGAAGTCTCCTAAACTTCAACTGGAGATTAATCTCAAAGAAGTGAGAGAACTATATATAGAAGGAAGAGCAGACCACTTTAATGGTTGTAGGGCACACTTATATTTACTGCAAGATCAATAAGAACAAGGAACGCAGCACTGAACTACGGGGTGGATCCTGATTGAAAGAAATTCAGTAGTAATACTACTGAAACTTATGGTGAGAGAGCTTTACTTTGAATACACTTTGTAAGTTAGGCATTAGTTACGTTTTACTTATATTTTCTTATAACCATTTCTGATTTTTATGCCTCATTGATTGTTGTCATGTAAAATCTCTCTTTCCATTCTTAATAGATTTGTTTCATTATTTTAGCTAACCCAATGTATTTGGGTAAAAGAATCTGGGAAACTCAATTTGAGATCAAAGCAAAAAGCTTATGTATATAATTTTCTAATGGTAAATAATAGATTTTATATGAGTTTATATTGTCCAAGAGACAGCTAAGGAAAGCACATTTCTGGGGAAAGTCAGGGACTGGGAATTTCCTTTGTGTTGCTCTAAAGTGTAAATCTGGAGTTGCTGACTATAGCAGTCATAAAATACCTGGTAATACCAGATTCAGACAATAGACACCTCTGATGATGGATACGCCAGTGCCTAGCCCAAAATGACCCTTCATGGGTTTGGTTTGGTTTGAATTATTTTATTCAGGTTACGTTTAGACTGGCAAGATTTAGCGCAAATACTCTAAACGCAAGAGATTTTACATTAGAGTATTTGAGTAAGAGAGTGTCTATACTGGCATGTGCCCTTGTGCAAAAGATTTTGCACAAAAGCATCCATGCTAGTGTAGACGTTCTCTTGCGCAAGAAAGCTCCGATGGCTATTTTAGCCATCGGGCTTTCTTGCACAAGAAATTGATGTTGCCTGTCTACACTGGCCTCTTGCGCAAGAACACTTGCACAAGAGGACTTATCCCTGAGCGGGAGCGTCAGAGTATTTGCGCAAGAAGCACTGATTTCATACATTAGAACATCAGTGTTCTTGCACAAATACTCGCAGCCAGTGTAGACAGGCGGGCAGAATTGTTCTTGCGCAAATACTCGTGGCCAGTGTAGACAGGCGGCAAGATTTTGCGCAAAAGCGGTTGCTTTTGTGCTAAATCTTGCCAATGTAGACGTAGCCTCATTGTTTAACACACTGGTGGATGCAGACAGTGGTGACACAGCAGGGGCTTCAGTTACATGTCAGTGATGAGTCTAAATCAGGAGTGGGCAATAATTTTTTGCCAGGAGCCACTTCAAAAATTTCAAGGGGTGGGACTTTGAGCAGAAGGGGCAGGGCTGGGAAATTACAGAGGAATGTTTAATAGAGATTCCTTGGGATACTAGACCTATTGTTATTATTTTCATTACCAAAGTGCTTAAATGGGGATTGTTCAGATGCAGGGTGTTTCAGTTAAACCTGATCAACTTTATAGCTGCATCCAAGGATAATTCATCTAAACTCCGCTGTGTGTGATACAAAGTACTTGTCTTTGATGTAGCCAAATTCTGAGGCTACATCTAAATTGTGCATTCTTGCACAAGAAGATATGCATGTAAGCCATCATTCTTGCACTAAAACCCCCCTCTTGTGCAAGAGCCATTCTGCCCGAAAATAAGTGGAAGAATGGCTCTTGTGCAAGAGACGGTCTTTTTTGCAATCTGGAGCAGTGTAAACTGCTCCTTTTTGAGCAAAAGCCCCTTGAGCAAAATGGAGGTTCATTGGGTATGCAAATGAGGTACGAGGATATTCATCTCTGAGGTTCATTTGCATATCTTCTTGCACAAGAATGCGCAATGTACACCTACATTCAACCTTTCTGACTACGAAGAAGTAGGATTCCATAGACATTTTGGGGACTTTGTGCTGTTGATTTGGTATAAAGAACACGCCATCCATGGTTCCTAGGCTGAAGCTCCATTTGTTTGTTACACTGGAAGTGTCTGAGCTGATTTTTTTTTCTTTCTCACTGCAGAGCTGTCTGCCTTGATTCTGTGGAAAGCAAATTTTACAAGCTGAAAGACAGCTGTATCCTTTTCTGGAACAAACCCTTTTCCCTCCACCCCTAAAAAACAAAGCAAAACAACAACAAAAAAACCTTCCTGAGTTAGTTGCCTTCTATGAATTAGGATTCCTTCGATTAGCCATTTGATCAGGGATTAATTTCTCCTTTGAAAACCCAGTTTTCCATCTGCTGCAGATTTAAGGTATTTTGATGCCTTGTCAGATGTTCAAAAGCACTGAGGTGCCTAACATCCACAGAGATCTGGCCTGTGGTCTAAGGCCAGGCCCACTCAGTATGGCCCAGATCATTCTTTGCTGGGCTTCATGCCACCAGCTCGAAAGCTTCTAAAGCCACCTGTAGGATTCCACCTTTCTCAGGCTACGTCCACCCTATAAAGATATTTTGAAATAAGTTATTGCAGAATAATAACTCTTGAAATAAATATTTTGAAATATAGTTGCATGCATCTGAAAGCTTGTGCTCCAATACATCTGTTAGCCTATAAGGTGTCACAGGACTTCTCATTGCTTTTGCAGATCCAGACACACATGATATTTTTATATCGTGCACCTACAGTATAGGGAAGTCTTGAAATTAGTCTGAGGCTGGCTCCCCTAGGGTACGTCTAAACAACATGCCTCTGTTGGCAGAGGCATGTAGATTTGTTTGTTTGGAAAAGGTAAATGAAGCTGCGATTTAAATGATCGCGGCTTCATTTACATTTACATGGCTGCCGTGCTGAGCCGACAAACAGCTGATCAGCTGTTTGTTGGCTCGCGCGCTAGTCTGGACGTTCCCCCTGTCGACATCAAAGCCCTTTGTCGGCAACCCCAGTATTTAAATAATCGTGGCTTCATTTAAATTTAAATGGCTGCCCCGCTCTGCCTATCAGCTGTTTGTCGGCAGATCAGGGCAGTCTGGATGCTCCTCTGCTGACATGAAAGCCCTTTATCGACCTCCCCGGTAAACCTCATCCTACGAGGCATAACGGGGAGGTTGATAAAGGGCTTTCAGGTCGGCATGGGAGCGTCCAGACTAGTGTGCTGAGCCGACAAACAGCTGATCAGCTGTATGTCGGCTCAGCGCGGCAGCCATGTAAATGTAAATGAAGCCGTGATCATTTAAATCGCGGCTTCATTTACCTTTGCCTATGTGTCTAATCTACATGCCTCTGACGACAGAGGCATGTAGTCTAGACACAGCCCTAATGTGGACACGCTACCTCACTGTAGAGCCCTAGGAGGCACTGGGGAGTAATTATTTACAATGGCCTAAGGAGAAATTATTTCAAAATAGCAACAGTGGAGAGTCCACAAAACTGCTATTTCAAAATAGCCATTTCAATATAAACATTATTCCTCATGAAATGAGGGTTTATTATTTCAAAATAAGAAGATCGTTATTCTGAAATTAGAAATAACTGGCTTGCTGTGTGGATGCTCCCTGTGTTGTTCCGAAATAACTCTAATGTAGACATGCCCTAAGAGACACATCATAATGTGGAGTACCTGGGTCACCCCCTTCCCAATAGTTAGTTCAAGGGCCATGACCAGAGAAGGAAGAAGACTAGGATAAGGGGCTGCCTTATCCACAGCAATCCCCAATTACTGAAATGGCTTTTTGGGCTAATATCAGCCAGCGTAATTTACAGAGATTCCCAGTAATGCTCTAAATTGTACCAAGTTGACTTCAGGACGGGGAATCACATAGATGGCTTAACACCCTGTTTGGTGTGTTTCCTTCCTGAGGCACACACATCACTCCTTGCCCACAGCTCAGGATTTGGGCCATTCACTCTAAAAATTATAGTTCTGAGTCTGCTTTCACTTCCTTGTGTGTCCACCAGGAAAAACAAATTTAATGTGACAGGTTTATGTTTGGCTTGTCTCACCATAGAAACTGGGACATACTGGCCCATAGCTTTTATAAGCACATGAATCCAAAGAAATTATTATACTTCACTCTACAGGTAAAGGATAGGAAAGCTTGGATACATTTATGGGGGAAAGGTAAGGGCAAAAATGTGTTTAGACTGGAAATATATTATCAGTCTAAAATTTGTCCAGCACTGCTACTTCCTAATACAGTAGAATACAGTTCCAAAATATAATTATTAGTGAAATATCCAGATCATGTTTATTTTATTGTAGAGGATAATGCTGAACCTATCAATAAGATTCTTGTTACTGTGCCTCAGAGTTGAAGATGCCATAAGGAAGGTGTAAGTCAGGATGGTGTTTTCAATACCTGAATCAAAGGCCCCAAAACACTGTTTTTGAGAGGCTAGCAAAATATTGTATTGGACAAAAGTCACAACAATAGGAAATGGAAGCATTTTATTCCAAAATATGTAATGAAAATATACAATTAAAATTGCTTTTTATATCACAGTTCCCTCATTATAACCTTGATTTCAGTTATATTAATATAAAATCAGCATCACTGTCATGATATATTTATTTCGCTTTAATTTAATAAATTCTCATTGTTGTTTCTTTGTGTGAATTTTTAAAGAATGGACAAATCTCTCCTGAGAATGAACAATCCTTAAATGTGAACAACACAGACATGTCAGTTACATTGAAAAAGGTCACCTGCCTCTCTTCGTAACTAAAATAAACTCCAATATTCTTGGGCTTTTTCTGCACTATGACCCGGGTCCATGGGTCTGTTTTAGCCCAGTAATCTCTCCCACTCTGACCCAGAACCCAGAATCCCTCTTTAGGGGACAGGGAGAGTTTTCCTTTTCTTGCTATGGATTTGAGGGCCACACCCAGGTCCCACTCAGTGCTTCTCTCAACATCCACCTCCCAGTACTGCTGTCCAGAGGAGAATCCTTCAGAGCCCAGCACACAGACAGTTGCATCGAACCTCTCTGGATTAGCTGGAGATTTCTGAGGTTGGGCTTCATGAGTCAAACTCTTCTTATCTCCAGCAATGGAGAGGTTGGGATGGGCCGTGTCTGCATCCAGAGTGATGTCATCTAGAAGAAGAGGGGAATTTCTTTTGAGGACCTTTCCTATTATATTGGTATAAACCAGAATAGGTGGGGTGTATAAACAGTGAACTTTCTTCTGCTGCTTCTCCTCATGCACAGCTCCCACTGATTTCAAAGGCAGGTGTGTCTGTGTAAGCACTGCATGACTTGACCAAGGCTGCACACTTGTCAATTGAATAAGTTACCAACATATTCCAGAAGTGAGATTTGCTTGTATTTACACAAACATAAAATTGATCCTGAAATGATTATCACATTAGTACTCAAACTGGGCCAGTGTCTCACCTGATACATAGGTGTCAATTAAGAGAAACTTTATTTAAATACGTGGCCAGCAAAGTACACATCACCATCACCACTGAGAGCTGAATTGGGCCCACTAAGTCTAGCATTAGGAGATGTTCTCTGTGTGAAGCATGGCAAACATATTTATCCGGTGATAGGTAACTATGAGTAGAACTTCATCATGAAAAGCAGAATTTGAGCATTAAGAATTGTAACACTCGTCGTGTCATTATGGCCCTATTTCTATCAGTGTAAAAAAATAAGATGCATGTAAATGATCTCTCCTCTGGGGCTCTCTGGTCCAGCAACATCTGTGGTCCAGCAGGATGACCGAAGGCACTGGAGGAGACAGCCACCAAGCCAAAGAGCATCAGCACTGCTGGGTGAAGCCCTCAGGGGCCAGCAGCCAGAAGTGGTTCTGGGGGCCTGGAGACAGGGCTCACAGTAGAGCCATTCCAGGGGCAGGGAACCAGTGTTGTGGAGTCAGGCAGCCAGGGCCAGCAGCAGAGCCTGGAAGGGGACATGGAGCCCAGCATCTGGGTCCCAAACCTCGCAGCCTGGAACAGGTAGGGGTGCAGAGCCCAGAGCCTGAACCTGGGACTGGAGCTGGGGCTGGTCCTGAAAGCAAAGCTCGACCAGGAGCACAGAGCCCAACTTGTAGCTGAGGCCTGGGCCAGACCAGCAGAGCAGCATGGATGACAGTTGGGGGCACAGAGCCTGACTGACAGCCTGGGCCAGGGTCAGGGCTAAACCAGCAGCTCAGGCCAGTATAGGGACTGGAGCTCAGTGTCGGAGACCAGCAACTTGGGGGAAGGGAGCCAGACAGCTGGGCTGGCAGTCAGGAGGTGAGCCATACTGGCCAGCAGCAGAGCCAGGTGGGGATGCAGAGCCCAGGAGGGAGCCCTGGCAAATTCACCGATGGACCCTGGGAGAATCTGGTGTCCATCAGCAGAAGGGTCAGAATTGACCTCCCTGGGCCAGCAAACTCCCTCATTTGGGATTGATCAGGTCCCAAGGGTGCCGGACCAGGGAGGTCAAACCTGTAACACATTATAATTACTCATTACTCAGTTAGGACCCCTGGGCTATGTGTACACTGGCAGGTTCTTGTGCATGAACATGTCCACATGGCCATGAGCTTTTGCACAAAAGCATCCATGTCAGTGTGGATGCTCTCTTGCGCAAGGAAGCTCCGATGGCCATTTTAGCCATAGGGGTTTCTTGCGCAAGAAACCCCTGCTGAGCGTCCACACTGCCCTCTTGTGCAAGAGAGCTTACACCTGTTAGAAAAGAATGTAGCTCTTCCACAAGATGCCCTCTCTTACCACTCCATACTGTAAATCTTCTTGCGTAAGTGGACACTCTGTGGGTTCTTGCACAAGAACAGCCACTCTTGCGCAAGAACCCACCAGTGTAGAAGTAGCCCTGGGTTCTGCTTCCAGCTTTGCTGCTGTGATAGGTTGGTCAGGTCACATAAGCTCTCTGATAGTCAGTTTACTCCTCAGTCACCTGAATATAGTGCCACCCTCACCAGGCGCTATACACGGTTATTATTATTTGTAAAGAGCTTCCAGATGATAAGCAACAAATGGCAAATGTGCAAATTATTATCTCTGCCTTCATCACTACCAAAGGCCTGACAAACACTGTTGACTTGCTCCAGGCCACACCGGTCTCCACCGCAGGGCCCATGATGGTCCCACCGCCACTGCTTTATGATTCTCTTTCAAGTGACCATCCCTGCCACCACATCATCTCTGCCTTCCCTGTGGCCCACTTGCCAAGGGCCTCCTTAGGCCCTTCTGCAAATCCCACTCCAAGTAAACACTAAGGCCCAGCTCTTCAAAGGCATTTAGGTGCCTAATTTCTATTGTTACCATAATTTTTGAGGAGATGGGCCAAAGAGATTTAGGAATGCAGAGAAGCAGTGCAAGAGGCTGGAGAAGCCTCCAGAAGAGGGGCAGCAGAAGGCAGCTCAAGGAGTTGTAAGAGATTATTCTGTCTGTTCCCAATAAGGCAAGGCCCCTGAAAAGGACGCCAGTGGAGTTGGTGGGCCCATTCCCTTACCTCATCTAGTCAAAGAATTTGGAGATAAAGGGTCTAAAACATGGAGACTTCATGCTGTGTGTCCCGTTAGAGCTAAGGGATTTCCAACTCCCCATTATCCTGAAGGGGACACAGCCAAAGGCCCAGACAATGAACTTGACAAATAGAGAATTGAGGGTGGAGGCATAAAGGAGGTCAGGTGGTGTAGCTCCACGACCTGCCACACTGGTGCTAACAGAGACAGGTCTCGTGTTACAAGGCCCCTTTCAGTTTAAATGGAATTTTTGCTCTGAAATCACATTGATGATTTTGAAAATCACGTTAAGTCATTTACTCAGGAACTCTCTCACTCAGGACTGATTCTGATCCGATAAATGTGATTCAGGAGTAACTGCATGTATGTTATTAGCATCACAATAGTGTGAAATTAGGGTAAATAAGGTCAGGATCAGGCCTAGAAATCAGTTTGGGCGCTGGGAAGTAAGGACCTTAGGAGTTGTGTCTCTGACAAGAAAAATGTCTTTCTAGTTTGATGATGGTAGCAGACATGCTGATTTCTTTAACATTGGGGCAGATTCTAATGTAGTGAGGTTCTCACGCTGCATCTATCAGCATTGGCACCTCTAGCCCTGTGCTGTGTGCACCATTACCTGATTTGCTCCGAGCCCTTCTCCAGTCTGAAATAAAAGTGAGAAAACAGCAGACACTGAATTAATAGAAGTTTTCACTGTAGATTTCCAGACTGCAAGCAAGTGAGGATGCCAGACACAATGGGGGATGATTCTTTTTACAGAGTTATTATGGACAAAAGTAGCACTCGAATGGTCATTCTCTCTCTTTCTCTTTGCCACACACACACGGCTGTTCTGAGCTAAGGTTAAAAACCAGGGCATAGTCCTGATCTGACTGAGATCTGTTCTGTCTGCCTTGCACTTCCACCTGAAGAAATCACCTCACAAAGTACCTGATCTCACTGCCTTTGGTTTAGTTCCCTCTTACACATTCCATTCTCACTGGAACAGAGAATGAGCGTTCCCATCCATACACATGGCATTTTCAGCCATCAGATGCTACAGTCACAGCCAGCCAGCTCCTCCCAGGCAGGACATAGAAGGACAATGCCCTCCAATATGTGTCTCCATTGCATCTGGGGAGTATAATACCCCCTTATGGGTAGACATCTATGAGCAGCTCTGTTTGGATTAGTGCACTAAGCATAGCATTGTGACTATTCTGGCTCAGATTTACCATACAAGCATAAGCGGGAGCAGTGATAGTTCAGTGCTTCAAGCATTGGCTTGTTAAACCCAGGGTTGAGAGCTCAATCCTTGAGGAAGAGATTTGGGGCAAAAATCTGTCAGGGATGGTACTTGGTGCTGCTCTGAAGGCAGGGGACTGGACTACATGACTTTTCAAGGTCCCTTCCAGTACTAGGAGATAGGCAATCTCCATTCATACATATTTAATTCCACCTGGGCCCTGGGTATGTATTCAGGCAGCTAACACAATCTGCTACTTGTGTCACCACACTTACACTGCTGCATTTAACATACTAGCTAGAGCAGAACTGGCAGGTGTGTATTTGCACTGGAAATTACACACCCAGATGCTGTGCAGATTAATGGTAAATCAATGATGCTGTGACTACTGAGGTGTCTCAGACTCCATTGTGGCTGTCCAGGAGATCCTTCTATCCCTAAACTGAGGCTGAGACAGAAAAGAGTTGTCAGAGAGTGGAGCTGCAATGTGTGTGCCTGAGGTAGCTGTAAACTCTGCTAAGGATGGGAAGAAAATGGACTATCAGGATCCCCTACTCCATCAAGAGTAGCCAGGAAGATTGAGGATTCACAGGAGAAATGGCCCCTCTCTAAATATCCAAGGAATCAGAGTGGGAATACCAGCAAGAGTGTACACAGGTCTTCACTCACCTATTTCCTTCTGCATTTCACCTGGGGAAAAAAAACATTAATTATTACACCTTTTAAAATTCTTGTTCAGTGTTTCCTTGTAACCAAGGGTCTAAGATTACCCTGGAAATGAATTACATTTTACAAAATTTATTATGACTTAAATTTAAAAAGATCCAGAGAAACTAATAGCCAAATGGCTGAAATCATAGAATCATACATTATTAGAACTGCAAGATAACTTGAGAAACCATCAAGTCCAGTCCCCTGCAGTCACAGCAAGACCAAGCACTGTCTATGTCATCCCTGGAAGGTGTCTATCCAACCAGTTCTTACATATTTTCAGTGACGAGGCTTCCACAACCTCCGTAGGAAATTTATTCCAGTGTTTAACCACCCTGACAGTCAGGAAGTTTTTCCTAATGTCCAACCTAAACCTCCCTTGCTGCAAGTTAGGTCCTCTGCTTCCTGTCCTGTCCTCAGAGATTAAAGAGACCATTCTGTCCTGCTGTACTCCCTATCCAGTGCTTTCTCCTATGCTCAGTGGCTGTGTCTAGACTGGCCAGTTTTTCCAGAAAATCAGCCACTTATCCGGAAAAACTTGCCAGCTGTCTACACTGGCCGCTTGAATTTCCGCAAAAGCACTTACTTCCTACTGTAAGAAATCAGTGCTTCTTGCAGAAATACTATGCTGCTCTCGTTCAGGCAAAAGTCCTTTTGCACAAAACTTTTGTGCAAAAGGGCCAGTGTAGACAGCTCAGATTTGTTTTCCGCAAAAAAGCCCCGATCGCGAAAATGTCTAGATTGGCACGGATGCTTTTCCGCAAAAAGTGCTTTTGTGGAAAAGCGTCCATGCCAATCTAGACGCTCTTTTCTGAAAATGCTTTTAACGGAAAACATTTCCGTTAAAAGCATTTCCGGAAAATCATGCCAGTCTAGACATAGCCAGTATGTTCAGTTCCTGGAAGTCCTGAGTGTATTTTCTTTCTTCCCCAATTGCCATTGAACCTCTCCCCCTTTAGTCGTCTTTCCAAAGACCTGGTGAGGTCTCAGCTACATTGTACTCAATGGCTGCTGAGTCCCCTACAGGATCCCTTCTCCTGGCTCTGAAGGCCATGCCAATGATCACATATCTCCATCAGCTGGGACATGTGTACTCTACAGATAAGATTGATGCAGACACAGTCAATCTTCTGGGGTTCAAATTGGTGAGTCTATTGAAGACACACTAATTCAAGCTGAGAGGGCACTCTGGTCGATACTGGTAGTCTTGCTTCTATGAGAATAAGGAAGTCAAAGGGAGAGTGCATTCCTTTTGACTTCCTGCAGTGTGGATTGAACCAAAATTCAAGTTAAAATACTTTGACTTAAGCTACACAATTAATATAGCTGAAGTTATGTATCTTAATTCAACATTATCCCGTAGTGTAGACCAGGGGTTGGATCTAAAGGAACCCAGCCTGGGAATTCAGAGTTTGGTTTCTGGACTGTAACTATGAGGTGATGAAGGCAAACTCATCTGCTTTCTCCTGCAGATCTACTGCAAAAGAAAAATGAGAAGGCAAAAAAAATTCAGTCCACACACACTGAGTTCCATATTGAAGAGGGTGAATGAGATACTTTGTTTCCTGGGTAGCATAAATATTGGCCATAGCAATGGAGAGACAGCAAGACACACACTAGTTTTTAGCCTTTGGGCTAGTCCCATACCTATCTTTCTAAATCACAAAGACAGGGTTCTCACATTGCTTGACTCCATTTCAGAAGCTTTGCTGTTAAAAGTAATTACAAAAGAGGTACAAATGTTATACCATGGTCTTCCATTAATATGGTATCACAACGTGCATTTCATTTCAACTTAAATGCAGAGTCTTATCATTTGTACATTTCCCTTCTTACTGTGTTTCCTTACAGGCAGGCTATGGTTTTGTGACTATGAAACAGAAATGAGGAAATCTATTTAGATGTTATTGATGTATGAGTAGCACTAATCAGATACAAAAAATACTCATATATTTTATTGACAAAGAAACCAAAGAAAATGCTCCATCAAAAGTGGGAAGGAAGTGTGAATGTTAAGGATAAATCAATAATTTTTTCATTCTATAAGAATCCTACAAATTAGTGCTGTGTATGGAAGAAAAAGTATACAGATTTACTTATTTTTTTCCCCAGTGTTCCCTAAAAAAGAAAAAAAATAGCACCTTTTGTCATAAAATGGACAAAAATGCAGGTAAGTAATAGTTAAAACATTGAAAACTGTATTGTTCTTTTGAAAAATATTTATGAAGGAGGTGATGAGACAACGAGCACAATCAAGATTAAGGCCAGAAGGGACCATTTTTATCATCTATCACACAGTGCCCAGATCTTTCCCAAAATAATGCCTGTCTTTATTAGGGTAAATCTTTTGGGGAAAAAAATCCAACTTTGATTAGAAATTTCAAGTGGCACAAAATATGCTATGAATTTTGGTAATTTCACTGGCGAATCACCCCATTCTTAATTGTTTTAAATCATATTTAAATTTTATTTCCCATCTGAATTTTTCTAGCTTCATTGCCAGCCATACCCTTCTCTGCTAGCAGCCATTTTCCTATATTTGTTCTCCTTCAATGTATTTATAACGTGTGATTAAGTCTCCCTTTCACTTTGTTAAGCTATACAGATTGAGCTCTTTGGCTGTGTCTAGACTGGCCAGTTTTTCCAGAAAATCAGCCACTTTTCCGGAAAAACTTGCCAGCTGTCTACACTGGCCGCTTAAATTTCCGCAAAAGCACTGACTTCCTACTGTAAGAAATCAGTGCTTTCTGCGGAAATACTATGCTGCTCCCGTTCGGGCAAAAGTCCCTTTTGCGAAAAACTTTTGCGCAAAAGGGCCAGTGTAGACAGCTGAGATTTGTTTTCTGCAAAAAAGCGCATTTAGATTGGCATGGATGTTTTTCCGCAAAAAGTGCTAATCTAGACGCTCTTTTTGGAAAATGCTTTTAACGGAAAACTTTAAGTTTATCATGATAAGACATTTTATCTAAGACTTCACTTATTTTCATGATTTTCTAAGAAACCCTTTTCACTTTATGAACTTCCTTCTTCAGCACTGGTTTTGCTGAAAACTTGGTTAATATTTATTTCCTCTCATCTTCTGCAGTGTGATACCACAAACCTGAAGAAGCAGAGTGGCCATCTGTCAATGGAAAATACCCAGATTTTTCTTAGTCCAAACTGAGATACGCATTCTCCTCCTACTTACTGTAAAAGGAGAAAGGCCCCTCAACAGTTAATGAAATTCTCACTCTGCCATGTCCATCAATGGGAAAATGACTAACCCTTCTCCATCCAAACTACAGAAATCAAAGGCAATTTACCCTTGTCCTTCTTAATTTGGTTTACAAAAGAATACAAAAAGGACAAAACAATATATGCACTTTATTGCTCTCCTGAACTCAGTGTAATCAGGAGAGCAATTAAGTTTGACACAGCAAGGGCAACTGTAAGTTGAATGCTGTTCTCCAAATCATCTGACACATTGCAAGTGTCCATCAGAAATGGGCATTGCCTCTGTGCAAGGACACAGAGTTTGAATCCTGGAGAATCTGTCATAATGTAAAAGTAAGTTGTTAACTACTAAGAACTAACTAACTACTTAACATCAACAAAAACAAGAATTAAGAAACTAAATAATTTCAGAATTGTCAAAAAAACAACAACAGGGAACTAGGGAGCTGCATCTCAGGCCAACGGTGGTTGAAAAGGAACTAGAGGATTCAGGACACACATGCATGTGCCTCCTGGCACATACATGCTGGTTGGTGCAGCCCGTACAGAGACTGCTTCAAAATCTCTGATCCAAACGCCGAGATGACAGTAAGGTCAGAGTGATGTATCCACAGGGACCTCTTTAAAAAGAACTACATTTTCTTTCCTGGGGGTTACATTTCCTGCT